TTTTGTGAATATTTTTGTTTATAACTCGAGCATTGCTAGAAAGGATGGAAGCAAGTGATCACTCAGAGTTTGAGACCAATTGCAAAGAAGTTACAGATGCTCTTAACACCTCCCTAAATGATTGGTCTTATTTCTCTTTTATTATTGGCAATTGTAAAACACTCTTAGCCTCGTGTGGCAGAGTTTTTTAGTTTAATTTTATGTTTCGCTCTGCTAATGAGGCAGCGTATCTGTTAGCGTGCGCTCCTCATTCACTCCAGAGCATGAGAGAGTGGGTTGGTCCCCCGACTATAGACCATGTGTTATCATGGGGCTTGGCTTGATGAGGGCTTGACCACCGCCACATATGCGCCATGTGGTTTGACCCTCCCATCAAGCCCCATCACTTGTAGATACGTAATGGCGAGGGCTTGACCAATTTTTTTATTTTATTTTATAGATAATATATTTTGTAAACATATAAATTAAAGTATTAACTTAAACATACTTTGAATGGAAAAAAATACGAGAAAAAAAAGATACAACGAAAAAAACAACAAAAGGGATAAAAAAAATACAAGAATAGAAAAAATACACTGAATCACATCAGGGAAAAACATAAGTAGTCTTCCATGATCAATTTAGCCCGGATCTTCTCCTTCACCTTTTTGGCATCTTCTCTAGCACGCCGGTCAAATGATCCGTTGGAGTCCACAACATGCGCATGTGGACATTGTATTGTTTTTCTTGTTGGAGAGAAACAAACATCTTCATGTACGTTGATATCTCGTTCAACTTCTCTTCCAACTTGCTATTACTCCCTGAGGATATTAGACGTTTTTTTTGGTTGTTGCGACCGGGTGGGCGGCAAGGTTTGGGAGGCATGGAGTACTCCTCGTCATCTTCATCAAAGCCTTTCAAAGATATTTCGACTCTAGACCAGGAATGGCCCGAACCCACGTCGGTTGACGAATCTGTCTTTAACCGTTTTGACACTTGAAGCCTCGGGACCGTATGCCACTTCGTGGATTCACGCATGACTTTCCATGCCTTGATACTCGTGAACGCGCCACGCTCACGAGTGTATTGGGACAACGCCTCGACCAAAACTTGTTAGTCATTTTGGCCATTCTTTTGCAAGCTATTCACCTCATTCTAAATACCGCAGAATTTGGAAACTTTCGCTTGCATGTCTCGCCATTTACTCGAGATCATGTCGTTGGTGCGGTATTGGCCACGACCCATCGTCTCAAAAAATTGACTCCGAACGCGAGTCCAAAACTCTGACGATGTTTGATTACGCCCTAAAAAAGATTAAACTTAAGTTAGGAAAACAAGATTAAAAAACAAAAAAACCAATAAAAAAATAAAAACAAAAAGAAATAGAAACTAAAAAATATGGGTAATTTACCTAAATAGGACTAAAACATAATGACTTTCTCAATATAGGACCATATGTTTTTATTTCTAATGTAAGACCATTGGTCATTATCTATTAGTCATTATTCAATTAAATGTTCAACATCACTTGGACATTATTCTTCTCACTAGTCATTATTAAGTCTTATTTAGGGAATAAAAAAGTTTAAGTCTTGCATTGGGAAATGACTTATATTTTAGTCCTATTCAGTGCAAATTTTACAAAAAATATTAAACCCATACCAATATGAGGATCTTCGGAGGTGTCGATGTAGGATCTGGCAAGTGCAACCTCCTCCTCTTCCGTCCATTTGATCATAGCGGGCTTTGTAATTTTTGTCGCCTTGTCGGCACCTCTTTCTTCTTGTGTTTTCTCTTTGAGGGTGTCAGCCCGGAATCGGTGGCGGGTTAGTTGGAATTGAGGAGATGCTTGAAATTGGGTTTCGGGAATGAATTTGTTCCCGTATTCGAGTGTGGGTTGGTTGGGTTGGAACGATGAGGTAGGAAATTTGCCCAGTTGGAACTAATTCGGGTAATTATATGTAGGGTTTGTCGGTGAATTCGTAGAATTTGAATTATTTGGGTTGATTTAGGGTCGATAACAATAGAAAAATATTAGGATACAGAAAATTTGGATGATACGAATCCTTAGATAAAAAAGTGAATTGAAGATGAATGAATGAGAGATGAAGATGACGTGTGGAGATGGTGGGGTTTTTGATTAATTTATAGGGCGCGGGAAACGAGACGGGCAACGCCCATGGTTGCCTTCAAGGCCTCTCCGAAACGCCCACGTCACGCCACGGGTGTCGCTANGGGGGGGGGGCATTACCGGCAAATCCAAGGCGGCCTCAACGCCCCATAACACATGGTATTATTGTTTCGTCTATTTAATAATATTACTTGATTTTCAAAAAAAAAACATTCTAGTTCTCAGCTGGAGCTCTTAAAAACACTGCCACAACGAATTCACAAAATGTAAGAAGTAATTAAGTTGGCGTGTAGGATTGCTTCGTAGAGACGCAGAGATAGTTATTGCTTGTGGGACTAAAATTATGCCAAATTAAGGGGCAGGCGAGAGTAGCATTGCTCCTACTCCGTATTTCTTTCCGGCCTTGCTTCTTTTTTCTTTTTCATTTTCTGGGATTTTCTTTCTTTTTCTAGTAAATCGTAATTGTGTGTTCTTGGGAAATCTTAACTAACTTTGAGAAAACTTCATGTGAATGTCGAAATCAAGTTTCCTGCTTCAATTCCTGTCTCCTAATTTCTCATATCTTTCAGCTGCATGATTTCACACTGTGAAAGCAATGGCAGATATGAATATAAGCAAAGATGAAGATCTTTACACCAAAGATGGGACTGTGGATTATAAGGGTAACCCTGCCAGAAAGAGAGAAACTGGCACCTGGAAAGCCTGCCCTTTTATCTTAGGTATGTTTATTCTCATGAACTGTCACTGTTCATCACTGTCTCTAAGTTCTTTTTATTAAAAACATGAATCTCAGCTAGTTAGCATTTGAGAAAGAAAAAAAAAAAGAAAAAGAAAATGGAAAGTTTGTTCATAAAAGTTGTAGGAGGTGAAGGTTTGGTTTGATGAGCAGGAAATGAATGCTGTGAAAGGTTGGCATATTATGGGATGAGCACAAATCTGGTGTTATATTTCAAGCACAGGCTGAACCAGCACAGTGCCACTGCTTCCAGAAACGTCTCAAATTGGGCAGGAACATGCTACATAACGCCCCTCATCGGAGCCTTTCTCGCCGATTCCTACATGGGAAGATACTGGACTATTGCCGCCTTCTCAATCCTCTATGTTTTTGTGAGTCTTCATCTCCTCACAGCATGTTTTGTTAGGCTCATTTGGGTAAAACATATAAGTCAAAAGCTAATGTCTAGATTATGTTTGGCACAATAAAAGCCAATGTCTAGATTATGTAAACCAAGAGGTTGTTGCCATAAGAACAGTTATGAGGGGCTCTTATGCAATGTGTGCAGGGAATGGCATTGTTGACACTGTCAGCTTCACTTTCTGCACTAAAGCCAACCTGTTCCAATGGTGTTTGTAATCCAACAGTGGGTCAAACATCAGTTTCCTTTATAGCACTTTATGTGATAGCCCTGGCTACCGGTGGGATCAAACCGTGCGTGTCATCCTTTGGGGCAGACCAGTTTGATGATGGCGACGAAGTTGAGAGAAGGCAAAAGTCCTCATTCTTCAACTGGTTCTATTTCTCTATTAACATAGGTGCACTGGTTGCTTCTTCTGTCCTCGTTTGGATGCAAGATAATGTGGGGTGGGGGTGGGGATTCGGCATTCCTGCAGCGACCATGGTTATTGCTGTCGCAAGCTTCTTTTCAGGCACAAAATTGTACCGGAAACAGAGACCGGGTGGTAGCCCTTTGACAAGGATATGTCAAGTGGTGGTAGCCTCTTTGCGAAAGTGTCAGGTTGAAGTGCCAAAAGAAAAGTCTCTTCTGTATGAAACTGTAGATGCAGAGTCTGCCATCTTTGGGAGCTGCAAGCTTGATCATACCAATGGTTTTCAGTAAGCATATATACTTTCATTAGCCATTCATGTTTAGCTTCTGTGATATATGAAACACATTACCTTATTACTGGCTTGTTTTTAAATGTTTGACACAGATTCTTTGACAAGGCAGCAGTTAAGACAGAGTCAGACAAAAGAGAAGGCTTGATGGATGATGATCCATGGAGACTGTGCACAGTGACTCAAGTTGAAGAGCTGAAAGCGGTTGTGAGGATGCTACCGATTTGGGCCACAGGGATTATCTTCAGCACAGTGTATAGCCAAGTGACGACCTTGTTCGTGTTGCAAGGCGCAGCCATGGACACTCGTGTGGGCCCTACCAAGTTCAAGATCCCACCAGCATCACTCAGCATCTTCGACACTCTCAGTGTCATCTTCTGGGTACCCATTTATGAAAGGATCATAGTCCCCGTTTCAAGAAAGTTCACGGGCCATGAAAACGGGTTGACCACACTCCAGAGAATCGGCACAGGCTTCGCCATATCCATCTTCGCCATGTCATCCGCGGGGATTCTGGAGCGAATCAGACTCAAACATGTGGAGGAGGTTTCCATGTCAATACTATGGCAGGTTCCCCAGTACTTCCTCATAGGATGCGCAGAAGTCTTCACTCTCATAGGGCAATTGGAGTTTTTCTACGAGCAGGCACCAGATGGCATGAGAAGTTTGTGCTCGGCTCTCTCACTCAACACTGTTGCATTAGGTAACTATCTTAGCTCTTTGTTGGTCACTGTCGTAATGGGTATTACAGCAAAGAATGGGAAGCCAGGGTGGATTCCAGATGATCTGAACCGTGGGCACGCGGATTACTTCTACTATCTGTTGGCAGCTCTTAGTGTGATGAACTTGGGAGTTTTTCTCTGGTTTGCAAGTTGGTATACTTACAAAAGGTCAGTGAGGACTCTTAGTTGACATGTTCCAAAATCAATGAGATTTATTATAAATGTTTGGAGATTGGAGACATAAATTTGAGGTTTCTGTTGTTCTGGAAATCATGCTTCATATCATGACCCCAATCCTAAAACAATAAAAAGAACTTTTAAAAAATGTGTTTTCACAATAGAGAATATATTCAGTACAAAAACAAACTCAGAAAACAGAAGTGTGATAACAATACAATATTCTTTGGCATTTGATAAACAATGGTGGTACAGTTATGGTAACTTTGCCATTCAATTCAGAACATTTTCAGAAATACAATCAGAGTTCAGCAGCATACTTCTACTACTACTTTTGCTCCTAGAAGTCCTCAGTGGCATCAAATAAAATGGCAGTACACCACCACCATCCAAGCTGCTAGAATTACATTTCCCATTTCTGTTCCTCTCTGCTAGAAGAAACCTCCCTTTATTGTTAGCATAACCATATCCAACACCTTCAGAAACACTACGCCTACCGGGAATCATATCAATCTTATCGGTCGAATTTCTAGCTCTAACAACGCTACTGCTACGTGCAAGCCTCATCGGATTCTCAAGCTCCGGGTTTTGCTTCTTCTCCGAATTATTGGATTGCACTTCTCCTTTAGTGTCACTGAGTTTTTGCTTGAAACCAAACACATTCCAGACCTTCTTCCATGTGGTGGCATTCTTCTTTGTTGATCTGTTCGAGTGTTTGTTGTTACAAGATCCAGCAGCAGCAGGAGAAGGAGGGGTTTCTTTGGGGGGAGGTTCGAAAGATTTAAAGGAAGGGTCTTTGACAGACTTAAGGTGCCAATCTTTAAGCTCTTTCTCTGTGATGACCAGCTTGAGGCTTGCAGACTTAGTAGAGTCAAGATGATGCTGATGATGATGGCACTCTAATCCCAAACCTTTGTTATTGTCAAAGCTCAGTACAGAACTGGACCTGTCAGAACAACTCTCCCTCTGAGAGAAGGAAGAATCTGAATTAGACTGCCCAGAAATGTTCCTAGCTGCTAAATAGCCATCCCAAGATGCTCTTGGCTCATCAATCATAATGGGAGGGTTTTCAACAGAAAATCTAGGTTCAGTGTCACAAGATCTTCGACCCACCGCGTTTTCCCCTACATCAGATTGTGTTTCCCTCAGATTCTCTGTTTTTTGGTTACCACTCTTTCTTATAGAAAACCCATCACTAGTATTAGCATTTGAACTAACCCTGTTACCATCTTCTCCACTTTGGATCCTCTTACCATGTTGCTTATGCCTCCATTTTTGCAATTTCTTGCTGAAAACTGAGGCAGCTTCCCAGAAATTGCCAGCAAAGACTCTCAAATCCTTTGGCCTCTGGTTTCCACTCTGTATTTCGAGATCGATAAACTCCTTCATCGTCTTTAGCTCTCCTTCCATGTCAACATCATTCACATTCGGGTCAATCGGAACCCTAGCTTCTCCCCCAATTTCTGCATCTTTAATTGGCTCTCCGTCAAAACGACCTAACCTGGAGAATCCAATGTTCTTCGTTTCCACTTTGACGTCCGAGGAGGGTGGTCCGTCGTTGATGTCAAACAGAAGCGCGAGTGAGTTCCGATCCCTAACATCGCAAGACGTGCGACGGGGCTCGGAGGAGCTACACGAAGCCTCCGGGTGGATGCCCGAAACTGACCTGCACCGTCGGAGATCCGGCGCGAAGGAGGAAGAGGGATCTCCTACGGCGGCAGCTTTACTCCGACGTCCATCGAGTCTAGCACTGCATCGACCATCTCCGGCGACGGAGGGAAGCAAGGAGGGATTGATGGGCAAGGAGGAGAGTTCCGGGTCAGCGGAAGGGTCGACACCGGAGAGCCGCTCGCGCAAGCAGGCGGCGCAAATGCCGGTAGAGGATTGGGTGCGGTGGCGGTAGCATGCAGGGAAGTTGCGGGTTCGGGTGCGGATCCGGGGATCGGGCTTTAGAGCCATTGATTAGGTTGGCAGATAACCAGTGGGCTCATTATAATAAAAATACAGAGGAGTGAGTGGGAATCAAAAAGAGAGAGAGAGAGAGAGAAAGATGGAGAAAGTGACAGTGAGAAAAGCAGAGAGCACACGGCGACGTGGGCCCGTTGTTGAAACCTACTCCCCACATTTTGAGTAAATTCCGGAGAGAAATTTAATCTTACATCACTTAATTTCTTGGAAATTTAATTCAGAAACTTGTCTTATTAACATTTTACTTGAAATAAGATGAATTCAAATAAAATACTTTTGTTACTACTAGTATTACAGATTTTTTTGATGTAGTATTTTAATATGTTGTTTTTATTTTTTTATTTTATACCACTTTAATATAAAATAATTCAAAAATAGATTCAGTTGAACACCGTAAACCGAAACAGACGATAAAAAATTAAGCAAAGGAAGTAATTTTTGAGTATTTGAAAATAATTTTCCTATAATACTTTTTAAATGTTAAATATTACAGAGTATAATCACCTATGCTCTTTTCATTTATTAAAGCATGTGTTGTGGGTAGGGGTGTTCAATCGGATCGATCCGATCCGAAAATTTGGATATCCGAAAATTTCGGATCATGCAAAACTCATTCCATATCTGATCCGAAAATATTCGGATATCTAAAATTCGGATATCCAATTTTTTGGATCGGATCACTGGATTATCCGAAAAGTTGAGTTTTTAGCCAAAATTTACAAAAAAAAAAGGTAAAATAGCAAAATCAACCCAAAATATCAAATTCAATATAGATTTACTAAAAGAAAAATTCCACCACTTGGTAATGGCCTAATAAAAAAATGACATCAAATTTAATTTGGGAGTAACTTTGGTAATTTTGCCTAAACAAACAAAAAAACACTATTAAAATAAAAAATTCTAAAATGCTAATGCAAAAAGTCCAAAATGGGTGATTTCCAAAATCAACATAAAATTACATTTAAACATATAGTCATAATATATATCCATAAAATTCCAAAAACATATAGCAAAAAAAATCAGATATCCGATTATCCGAAAAAATCCAGAAATTGAATCCATATCCGATCCGATTTTTTTCGGGTATCCGATCCAAAATATCCGCAAGCTAAAATATCAAATCAGATATTCATTTTTCGGATCGGATCGACCCGGATCGTGGTCGGATATTTCGGATCGGATATTTTTGAACACCCCTAGTTGTGGGGCTTGACGGATCACCATAAAAAAGGTGTCATGCTCCATTGCAACGTAACCACCACGATAACGCTGGCATGACGAAAGCGTGACAAAGGGGGTTTGGTGGTGGTCACAAGCGTTGTCCCTCTTTTCTTTTATTTTTTATTTTTTTTTTTAAATTTCAAACTAATCAAAATTTAACGCTTCTTCATACTTCATCCGTTTCCATTACACCCGCTACAACACACATTGTTAGTGTTTGTGCTTCGACTGCCCAAAAGCCCAACACGTGCTCTTGGGTTAAAATCATGATTGGGAGAGAGGGAACGAGTTGTTAGAATCAGGGATGAAAGTGTACGGAATCCGTTTATTATTACCAAGAAATGATAAATTGTGCCGAACAATGCATCCTCTTACAAATCCCTTCCATGCTCAGGACTTTCACATTTAGGCCCAGACCAAAAAATTTAACCGAACTGGACAATTAGATTCAAATAAAACCTAGACCGAATGGGTCCAGACCGATCTACAGTCCCAAAAAATTAGGTATTCGAATTTTCCGTCTAATCCAGTTCAAACCCAAAATAATTTAGATTCAGATCGATTAGATCGAATGAACCTATAAACCCTAAAAGACCTAAATACTAAAACTCTATTACACTTTGATGCTCTATTTTACTCCGTAATAGATATCTTAATTTATTTAATTAAAAAGGCTTTTTTAAGTAATTTAAAAAAAAATAAAAAAAACATTTCACATTAATTTTTATGATTCTACATAAAAGTAGTCCATGTGTATTTGTCTATTTTGTATTCTTTCTATTTGCACGGTATAAAATAAAAAGCTTAAAATATATTTAATCGATCACAATATTTTTTTTATTCGGTCCAATCAGTCTGGACCAGTTCAGTTCTAAGTATTTCAGTCCAATCCGGTCTAAATCCGAATAAATTCAATAACCCTATCCATGCTTGTACCTGTGATAGATATATGAAAAACTTATATATTGACATTCAGGTAGAGAACAAGAGTAAGATCAAATACGGTCTCATCTCAGATCAAAACCCCTATAGATAGAAACTATATAAGTAACAAATAAATATAGATAAAACACCAAGAAACACGCCTGACAATGGTCGAACCATACCATACGTGGAGCCTTCAACGAGAAGGCGATGCAGACTCGGGCGTAACAGATCGCGAATGAGACCTTGAAGATGCACATGTAGCAGCACTACTCCTGGACTGAGATGTTGAAGAAGATGTGCTTCTTGAATATGCACTTGAAGACCAACTAGGTGTGGAAGTTGATGAAGAGCCACTGTCCAAATCACGCCGACCATGTCTATGAGAACGATAACCACTCCGTCTGTAACTCTTCCTCGGCATTGGAGAAGAAGCACTTCCTGAAGACCAACTAGAAGTGGAACTGTCACAAACACGCCGACCATTCCGTCTGTAGCTCTTCTTTGGCATTGGAGATGAAACACTTCCTGAAGACCAAGTGGAATTGGAAATGGAGGGGGAAGAGGAACGGTCCCAAACACGCCGACCGCGCCTATAAGAATGAGAACCATGCCATCTGTGGCTCTTCCTTGGCATTGGAGAAGAAACACTTGTAGAGTAGCTTCTTCTTCGATACCTAGGAGGAGACACACTCGGCGTGTAGCGTCTCGTGTACCTTCGAGGCCTTGGGGAGGGGCTTCTTTGGTAATAGTAATAGTCTCTATCATCAGGGGGCTGATATCTGCTCCTCCTATAGTGGTAGTGGTGGCGGCGGTGGGAGTAGGGAGAATAGGGAGAGGGATGTCTATGATAATATGATATATGCCTACGCCTATAGTATGGAGAGTATGATCTGCTCCTGCTCCTGCTCCTGCTTCGCTCAGATGAGAGAGAGCGACTTCTTTCAGAACTTGGGGAGCGTCGTCGATCTACATCAATGAAACTATTGTGGTTAGCTTTAGAGCACATTTAATATACACATTAATTGGTTGATGAATTTTGTGAAGCAGAGAATACTTTTTGGAAGCAACCTTTCACATGCAGCCAAATATGACCATGCTTAGGGTGGTTTCAAAGAACTAAAATCCAACATAGTTTGGAAATAAAACTGGGATTTTATATGGCACTCACACGGAAGCAAATCTACCCCCAATAAAAATACGTGATTATCAAATAATCATGTTTACGATAAGCCTCGGTAGATTTAGTTTATTATAACATGTTTTCATGTAGCAATTAAAATCATTAGACCAACCAGTGGAAACCAGCCCAATCAAAGCAGATCATAAAAGTCAAAATATATGAATTCAATACATTATAAGCAACTTTTTTTTGAGGGGATATACTTAATTCTTAATCTGAATCTTACAAGCAAAATAAGTCATTTTTTTGTGCAATGCCAGCGTAAAAATGTAAAACTTTAAAAGCTACTGGAGCAATGTTATTGTCATACCACGAACTGTTCTCATGCCAAGATACCTCCCAGGTGTTGGTGTGCGGCCTCTTCTCCTCCTAGCCTGATTAAGAGACCACAAATTACAACCTCCAACGACAAAAATAATAATTATTGAAAAAAGATTCACAATAATGAATATACTACGAGTATATAAAACAACCCTGATGACTATATATGATCTGTTTGCTTTGATTTGTTAATTTGACATTGGCGAAGAGCTGCTACATCTGCTGTCACAAAAACTTTGCAGACACAAGCAAACAACTTACAAACTTGAATAATAATACCATAAGCAACAAATGATGATGCATAGATTGAGTAATGGTTAGTAGAGGATGTATCCTAGAAATAGAGATATAAAAAAATGAGGATGTTGGCATTACCCTTTCAACAGTAATAATCCGACCTTCAAGTACGGAACGGTTCAAATACTTGATGCACCGCTCGGCATCTTCCAACGTGGACATCGTCACAAAAGCAAATCCTCGTGACTCTCTGGTCCATGGATCGACAACAAGATGAATATCTTGAACCTGAAAAGAAACTGTCAAAAGTAAGCTACATATAAAGACATGAGAATCAAGAGCAAGCAATCCAAGAACATGAATACCTTTCCCTCGGATGAGAAGTGATCTTCAAGATCCTGCTCTCTCACTCGGCTTGAAAGTCCAGTTACATACAAGTTATTTCCAGGATTTTCAACATCCCTCAAGTAATGGCTACTGCAAGCCCATTAAGAATGCACCAATCAGTAAAAAAAAAAAGAAACTAAGAATTGGACTTTCTGAATCTCCTCTGGAAATTGAACATAAGATATAACCTTGATTGGCTCCTTGAAGAAGATGGGGACATGGATATCGACCGCGAGACAGATATGCTGCTATACTTGTAAGAAGGAGAATGAGAGTACCTAAGGAAGCATTAGAACTATTGGAGCCAACCAAAAAATAAAAGGAAAAAAAAAACAAGCAAACACAAAGAAAAAACGAGATGAAACATGAAATGCCAACTTCAGAACACACCTTGATCGTCTGGAGTACGACATCTGCAAGAAAAGTTAAGCTCTAAATGTTAGGATCAAGAGGAAGAGTTGAGTCCAAAAAGTAGTAAATAAATAACTCTTCAACTTTGTGAAGAGTTGAAAGAATTCAATTTTAAAGGCAAGAGGCTGTGCGCAAGATATTGCCTAATCAGCAAGAACGAACAATAAAGCAAAACTTATAGCAGCTGTATATGTTCAGAAGCAACACTTTCTCTGTTCTGATATTGGATCGTATGTCAAATCAATAGCGTATGAAGATATTGGGATTAATTTGATACTTGGTTTATTAGGTCTATATTCTTACGATCACCCACAACAGTATCTTAATGCTAGTTATATGTTAACAAATGGAATCGTGTGGTTGTAAAACAAAATCAACACGGAAAAACTTACCAGGTCTAGACATAGTAAAGATTGACAAATTGAGAGCTCTTTCGAGGATAACATGCAAATTATTAATCCAAGAGTCAATACAGAGTAGAAGGTACAAGTACAAAGCACCGAGGCATACCCCTATAAATCAAAGGCAAGTCATGCCAAACAAAAGGAAAAAACAATACACAACTAAACGACTATAGTCTTTTGGTTGTTGACACTGCCTCCCTCATGGTTTTGCCATCCCAAAAGCCCACGTGGTCGCCATAAGCATTTCGTAGGCTATTTGCGTCATTTGCAATAAGTTGTCTGAGCACACCTTGGGCAAGCTTTGGCCGTCGCAGTACCTAATGATTCACTCTCTGCAAAGCTTCTCGAAGCAAACAATCAAGGTAGTCCTCCTCGGCTAGCTTTGCCTTCACCTCATGTTTGGTGGCCGGCGGCAAGGAGTTGGCTTGGACAACTTTCTCAACTTGTTTAGGGGCCGAGGTGGTTGGCACATCAGATTTGGCCTTTTGCCTTAGTGTTCTCGGTACTCCTAGCCGAACTTCCTGCCTTGCTCACATCCTTTNGGGGGGGGGGGGGGCATTGAGCGTAGCACCAGTTGCATCAACAAAAGATTCATCACCTCTCAAAGGCTTGGTTTTCTTCTTCCGCTTAGCTTCAAGGACCAGGTCCTTACCCCCTGCCAATGGCGTGGCAGTATGTTCAGCTTGGCCTCCTCCCTCAGCATCGGCCGTATCCACCAAACTTGCCTTGACTACCTGTTCGGGGCTGGTCAACAAGTTTTGGCCTCAGTGCCAGCACCTGTGCTGCACTTGCTCATAGCACGTCTCCTCCTAGGCCTTTGGGAGGTTTGCCCATGGTTTGTAGGAGTCCCTCGGTCATTGGTCAGTTCAGCCAGCCGCTTGCTGTCTCTTGTAAATTTGTCAACAAAATCTCCGGTTTTCTTAAGGCGTAGGGCGCGGAGAACCCTACATTCCAATAGGTTGTGTCTAAATTCTTTGCAATGATAGCAATACTTTGCGAGGCCTTCGTACACAACCTTTTGGGTATACTTGTCCCCATCAGGTAGACAAACCTCAAAGGAAGAGGGTAGTTCCTTCGACATGTCGACTTGAATCAACATTCTACAAAAACTAAACCCTAACCCTTCCCATTCTCTTAGTTCCTTGATCAATGCGCTTGGGGGTTCCCACTCTAGACCCCAAGCAATCAAATGCAATTTTATTCCAGCATTGCAAAGGCACATCAATAAACTTGACCCACATGTCAACCATCATGAAAGCATCAAAATTATAGCGAAATACATCCGAAAAGAATGCGATGTAAAGGGTCTTATCAAAGAGTGTGTAAGGCCCATTGTAGAGAACCATCCTTCGGTCTTCATCACTAAGGAATTGGAAGATAACCCAACCTCGCTCGTGAGGGGAAATTTACACTGTAAACGTCATGAGAAAATGAGTCCCTCATTGGTTTTGATGCCCGGAAACCGGCCAGTAAAGCAACCCACCAAGCAAAACCCTCATTGAGTAACCCTTTGTCGAGATAATAACCTCCTCTCCAACCACAACTTTGTCTAAAAGGATTTCTTCAAATGGACTCCGGTTTTCACCTAGTGGAAAAGTATGTAGTTAAGGACGCTTCTCCATACTACAATTCAAACGACAAAACCATTCGATCCTAAGGCTGGGCAATTCCCAGTTCACTCGCCATTACTACGGAAATCTCTTAATGAGTATGTTGCACCAAAGAATTTCATAATGAGTATGCAACCTTTTATAAAAATGACTCTCAGCAATGGATATCTCGGCTCTGTCATAAATGAAGAATGTAGCGAAATGCAATACTTGGTGTGAATTGCAGAATCTTGTGAACCATCAAAACTCTGACACAAGTTGCGCCTCAAGCCATTAGATCTAGGGCACATTTGCTTGACTGTCATGCATTATGTCTCCCCTCTCGTGTGTGGAGTGGGGGCCTTCCTTGGGTGTGGTTGACTGAAAATGTTGTCCTTGAATTGGTTGATGTCTTGGTGTGTAGTGGATGTACCAAGTGTGCATAATTGCTAACCTTGCTCAACTTCATCGTGGTGTTGGTATCCTATGAAGTTGTCGGTGTTGGCTCTTTGATTGCTCTTTGATTGCAACTCCAGGAAAAGAAACTTACAAGGATTTCCTTAGTAACACTGAGTGAACTGGGAATAGTCTAGCCTTAGAATCGAACGATTTTTCCATTTAAATTGTAGTCTGGAGAAGTGTCCATAAAGGCAGATTGGGCCCAAGTCCCTTGAAAGGGCGCCAGATAGGGTGAGAGCCCTGTTACGCATAGACTCTGTCGCAACGCGAGATGATGTCTTAGAGTCGGGTTGTTTGGGAATGCAACCCAAATTTGGTGGTGAATTCCGTTCAAGGCTAAATACAGGCGAAAGCCCGAGAGCGAACAAAAAACCGCGATAGAAAAATGAAAAAAACTATGAAAAAAGAGTCAAGGAGTGCTTGAAATCGTTGAGAGGAAAGCGAATGGTGACCGATGATAAGCCCAAGTTGGATGTGGAACGGTGGTTAGCCGGTGTGCTCATAGACTCTGGGTAAGGATCAGCAAGAATTCAGGCAGCGATTGAAGCTTGGGCATTTGATATTCTGGGGGAATGTCATCTCTTGTATTGTGGGAAGGAGTGCACTCCCCGCGTGTGCTTTGACACCTGCGTACTTAAGTCGTTGACTTGTGGCCTCCCCATTCGACCCATCTTGAAACACGGACCAAGGAGTCAACAATTCATTTTATCGCGAGGTTGACAAGTGAAGATAGCTATTACAACAATCGTTATAATGAGGGACATTTCTATGTCAGAAAAAAGAGATGGCCACTTCAGATTGCTACTGATAAGAGATTAGTTTCTTCACCTTCCTATGTCACTTTCGTGCATGCACAATTGCACAAGCGTTGAGCTCAAGTACTCCTGACCTCAAATACTCATGATGACAAGCCTCCCCCTCATAATACAAGTATAATATAATTTGGATATATCGTCTCTTAGTCTCTTCCTTATCTCTCTCCACCAATTTCAATGTCCGGCAGCGAAAATATGCCGCCGGCATTTCCCTTCACCGTAACGAGCGGCAACAGTTTACTTAGACTTTGTTGGTGTTTGTGTTGGTGTTCTATCCCTGAGTTTGTTGTACCTTTTGTGCTACAGTTTGGAGCGACTAGTTGGGGTTGGTGATTTGTTTTGAATTATGGGACAGAACAAAAAGAAGGGGAGTAGGAGAAACACTAAAAACAACACAAACTTTGTCTTTGATGGAACACCAATCAGTGTGGCAAAGAAACGTGGGGCTAATCGTTCAGGCAGTAGCAACAACTTTCTTGTTTACACTCAACCAATGATACTGGACAGACATCTTCCTCAATTGATGTTAGTGTCACACTGAATTCGTGTGACACTCTCTTCTGAGCCCCAATTCTTTGGCCACTTCTTTGCCTCTAAGGGAGAATTGGAGTCCATCTAAGAAAATCCTTTTAGACAAAGTTGAGGTGAGGGAGGAGGTTGCCATCCCGACAAAGGGATATGCCTCCCTCGAAGAAGATTGAGCTATTGCTTGGTGGGCTGCTTCACTGACCGGTTCCCAAGCATCAAAGCCATTGAGGATCTTATCTTCTCATGACATGTACACTCCTCCTTCATGAACGAGGCTAAGTTATTTTCCAGTTTCTTAGTGATGAAGACCAAAGGATGGTTCTCCATAATGGGCCTTACACACTCTTTAGTAACATCCTTTTACTTCGCATTCTTCTGGATGAATTTTGCTTAAATTTTGATGCTTTCATGACGATTGACATGTGAGTGAAGTTTATTGATGTACCTTTGCAATGTTGGAATAAAGTCGCGTTTGATTGCTTGAGGTCTAGAGTTGGAACCCCCTTGTGCACTAACCAAGGAACAAAAAGAATGGGGAGGGTGTTTTTTTAAAAAAAATGTTGATTCGTGTCGACATGTCGAAGAAACTACTTTGTCCTTTGAGGTACGTGTACCTTATGGTGACAAGTATACCGAAAAGGTTACGTATGAGGGTCTTCCAAAGTATTGCTTTCACTGCAAAAATTTTGGATACAACCTCTTGGATGGTAAGGTTCTCCGTGCTCTGCGCCTTAGGAAAAATGAATCATTTGTTGATAAACCTACTCGATACACTACAAGGACAGCTTAACCAGCTAATGAGGGGGTTTTAACCACAACTTCTTAGGGCCAAACCCCCAAAAGAGCTAGGAGAAGGCGGTCTAGGAAGCTAAACACTGAGAGGCCCTGACAAGTACTGCCATGCCTAAATCATTAGCTCACCCCCCCCCCCCCGTTCTGGTCAGGCAGTCATGACCATTGTGCTGGGTACAATTGGAGCTGAGGCCAGAATGAACCTACTGCCACGCTATTGCTAGGGGAAAATGTGCTGATTACTGAAGTTGGCCGGAAGAAGAAAAAGAAGACTTCGAAAGGTGAACAACCCGTTGTGGATGGAAACGGTGATCTTCTGGTTGGCGCCATCTCCAACGCTATGCAAGTTGAGGAAGTTGGGAAGATTAGATTAGACAATGAGGTATGTGAAGACCATGCAACCTCCAAGCTAGTGACAACCAACAAAGAGGAGGAGAATAGGCCACCAGCTTTGGCTAAGATCATCAAGAGAAAAACGACGAAAACCAAGTCTGATTTGGCAGCCCCCTCTGCCTCTAAGCAAGTTGAGAAAGCTAAACTCCCTGCTAAAGGCCACCAACAAAGAGGGAATGAAGAAGCTAGCCGACACCTTGGGGCGAGATAAGGAGCAAAAGTGGGAAGGGTGCATTATCGTTTGCTTGAAGTAGCTTTGCTTAGAGTGAGCAACAAGGTACCCCACGTCCAAAGCTTGCTCCAGATAAGCTCAGACAATTTATTGCAAATGATCCAAATGGCCTACTGAATGCTTATGGCGACCATGTGGGCTTTTCAAATGGCAAAAGCACGATGAAGGCAACACCCGCAACTAAAAGACAACAGTTGTTTAGTTGTGTATTATTTCTTCCTTTTTGCTTGGCATGACTTGCCTTTCCTTTTATAGGGGTGTTATGCCCCGACATATTGTCTGTATTATTCGTATGTACTTTGTATTGACTCATTGGTTAATAATTTACATGTTACCCTCGAAAAAGCTCTCAATCCATAAATCCTTACTATGGGTGGACCTGATAAGTTTCCCCTTGTTGGTCAAATAAACAAAATCAATTCTTCAGTATTATCATCAAAAATTGAAACTAACAAAATGGTCATAAAACGCCATAAGATTTTCATAATCGATAGAACTCAACACTTTTTTGTAAAATAAAATCGAACAAACTATATAATACGCCTGGAGGAATTCGAATTACGTTGAAGGATGCAAATTACATAAAAATTCCAGAAAATCGAAGCGCAGGTCTAATGAGTAATTCAGATGAAGTTACCTTTATCGTCTTCCTTGGAGTGACTCTTTTCCTTCTTCCTCTTGCGATTATGTGAAACAAAGGACGCTATAATGATCCAGAAAGTGGCGCCCGGCGAGGAAAACGTAATTTATACTACCGGCTACGAATAGAAGGTTCTGGATGATCGGATCCGATATTTGGATCCAGTATAGATTGTTGAAAATGCATCTAATTGCTTCTTCCGGCCCAAAAAGCAATACAATTGATTTTGGATGCTTCATATTGGCTCTAATAAATATACTTTCTCCCTTCCTATTTTGATTATAAATCAGAATTACGATGTAAAATACCATAATTTTTGAAATCATTTTATTTAGAAATTTATATATCAATAATAAATAAAAATTATATATTAAAAAACTGCATCAAAAGTTCTACAAAACAAAAAATAACAAGAATATTTTATTTTATCAAATAATCAATGAAAACACATAAATAAATAAAATCTATCGAGAGGAGAGAGAAATAAAATTGTAATAAAAATAGGGACGGATGGAGTATTTTATTTTATTGAAGGGAAAAGAATGAAAGTCGGAGTAAAACATTAAAAATATGCTAAGATTTCTATAGTTTTTCCCCAAAATAGGAGTTAAATTGTATTTACAGTGAAAGCCCTGACAATGTACATCACCAAAAGATATTGTGAATTATTCATATACAGTGTCACATTGTCACATAGCAAACTCCTATTTTGGAGAAAAATATGAAACTCCTATATTGATATTTTTTTATGTTTTACTCCTATTTAGGATAATTTTTTTATTAAATAAATAATAAAATTATACAAATAAGCAATGGACGTGACGTGGCGATATCATTTTGAACTTAGTAATATTTTGTTGCAAAAAAAAATGAGTTTTCAAATAGTTCTAATAAACTGAATTGAGACATTCTGCTTTACAACGGTACGGGACAAATTATCAAAGAGTAAGAACTGAAATTCCCAAACTAGATCATTACTACAAAAATACCATATTAAACCATCAATTATAAATTTTTTATTGTTATTATTTCCTTGGAGCGGTTTAACTTACTCGGTCTTAGGTTCTTCTTAAATTATTTTATTACTCTGTACAACTCAATTTATACTTGTAAGTTTTATAAGAAAATTAAACTATAATTGTATTTTGTCAAAAATTACAACTAAACAATACATTCTTAGGTAAGAATGCATAAAATTAATGGAATGGTGCGCCAATTTTTTTAAAAAAAATTTTATTGATTGTTTTTTTACGTATAAAAATATTTTCTAACCGTCAGTGCACATTGGTTTGAAATTGGTATAACATGGCACCGTTTGATTTTTAAACAGCATGGTTTGAAATTGGTATGAAATTGTAGTGGGGGTGGCTCGAGATCAAAATAAACATGACTTTCTATCGATTGAAATTGCAATTTCCAACTTGAAATATGAATGCAATGAAAGAATCTGGTAATTTATATATAGATTTACAATGAATGAATAAGGGCACATGTTGAGAAGACTAGTAATTAGCTTGGATTAGTTTTGTTATTTTGGTTTTTATTTTCGGTTACTGTTTGGTGCCGGCTTTCTGTTGAAAGGGACTTTGGCTATTTACGGGGCTTGCACCCCTTTTGTAATGTTCAGTTGGAAAAACTTCACAAGCAATGAAATCATCTTCTTCTTGGCTCTGATACCATGATAAATTTGATAAGAAGGAAGAAGAAGATGATTTCATTACTTGTGAAGTTTTCCCAACTAAACATTACAAAAGGGGTGCAAGCCCCATAAATAGCCAAAGTCCCTTTCAACAGAAAGCCAGCTGGCATCAAACAGTAACCGAAAATAAAAATCAAAATAACAAAACTAATCCAAGCTAATTACTAGTCTTCTCACATGTTCTCCTAATCAAAGCAGCAGCCAAGAGGCAAAATCCTTGTGGCTCATCTGAAGAATCTCTTAACCTGCCAGAGAGAGATTTAAAAACAAAAATAAGAATTATGACACACTGTTTAAATGTACCAATTAGTAACCAGAAAACTATACTACATTGAAATCGAGTCGATAGCATTAAAAAAAGAGTGACTGAGAAAACAAATTCCCGAAGAATATTAGGCCATCCCTGCATGTGGCTCTCGTCTTTCACATTTCTACACCTACCTAGCGACTTTGAAACTCATGATTCTCCAATTGATTTTATGTCATTCTCATATGTTTCCATACAAGCCCTTAGAACATCATGAGTTTCACAACTTTTGGAAAGTGATTGTTTGGATAATCTAGCCAAGTATTTCTTTGTGTGTGTGTGTATTGAAGAAGTCCTACTTTTATGTTGATGTATTATGCACTTACATGCTCAAGAGTCAAGAACATGATAGCATTCCATAATCCTAGTCGAGTGAAATTGGGAAGGAACCCCTTATACAAAGCAAAAGGCCCCTGCAAAAATGAACTCCTCACAATAAAGTTTTGGTGAAACAAATTCTAATTGCTCGAGTCTATCCCCAATGTCAAATTAGTAAAACCAGAAATATGAACTGTGAAAATGAAAGCAGTTTGATTTTCAAGCACGCCGTCTCAAGGTTGGGTAATGGACTAAAACTGATGTGGGAATTGGGACAAAAAAAAATAATTATTGAAAATTTGAAACATGACTCTTTATGGAACGAAAAGAGTAATTGTGGTTTACACAATCCGACAATCTAAAAGAAAGGCCACACACACACACACAAAAAAAATATTATAGCACGAAAAATTCTAGCACCAGTGGTGATTTTAAAACAACAACAACAACACAGCTTCATCCCACTAGGTGGGACAGCTACATGGATCAAATGACGTCATAGCTCCCTATCATGTACCATATCTATAATGAGCATCTAAAAATAAATCAAGACAAGTAGACGACTAGCTTCTATTTATTGTCCAAAAAGAGGACTGAAGGATAAATATTCGTTTAAAGCTGTAGCTACATAAGCAAGAGAAATTAAAAATATATGCTATTTATGACCACTTGTTTCATGACCTTTACCATTCTTAGTTGATAATATAGATGGTGGAGCCAAAAAGATAGTAGACTTTAATTTCTAATGCAATAGAGGTTTCAAAAACGGAAGAAGAATACCTCAGTCTTTAAAGTTTTGAAAACGCAATCCAAAGTGCTCTTGTAAATTGAGTCTCCCATCATTCTAGACTTAACCTTTAAAATAGAAAATAAGCATATAGTTCAGAATGAAATGAACACGTATACCACATACTCATATATAGTCCAATTGATTCCTTGCAAATCCTGCAATCATTCTCACTAGCTTAAATGGAAGCACCCTCAGTTTGTTTGGTCATCCATAATAATGTACACAGTCGCAGGTTGGCTTCACCCATACGTAGTATTTCATAATTCACATGATTATCATTTGAAGAATTGGATACACTAAGGAAATGTTAGATTAAGATAAAAATTTGGTATAAATGACAGTCAATGATACACTAAAACAGTCAAATACAGAGTACTAATTAGGTTTGTCCTCCTAGGGGTTGTGCAAACTCTGTAAGCACCTTAGTGGTGTCAAGTGTCTACAGATTACTTCAGTTGAATATTTTATCCTCTAGTCTGAAATCAATATTATAGATATTAGTCTTACCGCATCCTCGAATTATTTTACTGTAAAACATTTCAATCGCAAGAAGAAAATAATCTATCACTGTGTGGCTATTGTGTTTTCTTGGAAATGTTACCACATCAACAGGAGAGCCAATACAGACTGCGAAAAATCCCGCTCCTAAACCCGCCAGGAGATGGGTTAAAGGACCATCAGTGAAGCCTGGAATTTTTAAGACTGTCTGTAAAAAGAGAGTGAAGCTATGAAATATGAATTTGTGAACAACATCGGCTCACTGCAAATGTTTAATTGTACAGAGCCATACAAGGAATGTCGTGCGCACCTCTTTGACATGATCATAGCTAGCTAGCTCAGCAGCATTTATAATAGCATTCCGTGCAACATTTGGCACAAGCCCTGTCCATAAAGCTGCAAACCCTTCCTATGATTTTAATCCGTTAAGCTCAAAGCTATAAAGATCAGACTAGGTATATGATTGCCTGGTGATACCTGTTTTGCTATTGTATAATATGCATCCATAGCTCCAAAATAACGCCTGGGTGCACCAGCAGGTGTTTTACTTTCAGCCTGAAGTCTAACCTTCACTAGATCAGTGGGATTGGCCACAGAAATTGCTATAGCACCTTTCGTGCAAATGGACCCATAACCAAAAATAAGTAAAAAGAACATGTTATGATCTGAAACTACAGCGAGAAAAAATGTGTAGTGCTTAAAGATTAATACTCTGTAACTCACTTACCAGTTAACAATGCAGCTAGTATTTTAGGGAGCAAAGAAACTTCTCCCACATTATCACTGCCTACAAGTAAGACCTTAACCTGCCTAGCACATATGCAAATCCAGCATTAATGAACATACATAGCTAACAGTCACACAGACAAGTTGAACACTCACAGGCTGGTACAACCCAATCCTTAGGCCCCCGTAGAGAAATTGTCGATGCAAGCCAGGAACAATGCCCTTCCAGAGAGAAACCATCCCTTCTTCCTTAGCTATTGTCACCATAGTACCAAACAATCCCTTGTACTTAGATGCACCGTATCCTCCTTCCCCAGACGCTGCCCCCTTTTGCAGTTGTAACCTAACTTTCGCTGTGTCTAAAGGCAGAGTACAGAACTACAAAAAAAAAACAAAGTATATCAAATCAATACAACTCAAGTAGCAATTCGGCTACCAAAATCAATACAACTTCTAGATTTAGCATCGCCGTTCATCATCAGAAAATCAAATTTCATTTCGATAACCACGGCCTCGCACAGTGCCGACATTATCACGGGAACGCGAAAATGAGCTGAATATGAAGTGAAAAATTACCTCGGCGAAGCAAGCGGCGAAAGCGCTACAAGCGAATATTCCAGCGAAGGAGATCTCGAGCAGATCGGACGCCATCGGAAAGGGGAAATCGCCGGCGGTTGACTCGCGGGAGAGAGTTTATATGCATATGCTGAAGAAGAACTGATAGTGTATGTATGGTATCAGTATGATACTCTGATTATTGATGAGCGATTAACAAGTTTCAAGCATGTGAGCGATCCAGCAGGAGTCGTTAAGATTAAATTCCTCATTTTACCTATTTAGTCCCCAATTATTATATTCATTTCCACGAATGGTCCTTTGTTAACATTTTCGTTAAGAACGTGGATAAAATTATAAATTCACACTCCTTTCTCTCCTCAATTAAGCTTTCTTCCTCCCTTGCACTCCTTTCCTAACCCCGTCACTGAGTTTCTAGCTTTGAACCCAAAACCAAAATCATCACTCTTCTCTCAATTGTTTGTCTAATTGGAGGAACGAGCATTTAAGTTTTGGGTTTAAGAGCTTCAAACTCAGCGACGAGTTTGAGAAAGAGTACGAGAAGATGGGGAAAGCTTAATTGAGGAGAGAGAAGTATGAATATATAATTTTGTCCACGCTTTTAACGGAAATGTTAACAAAGGACCATTCGTGGAAATGAATATAATAATCGGGGACTAAATTAGTAATATTTGATTTGTAGGGACTAAATATGTAAAACGACCTATAACTGGGGACCTTTTATGGAATTTACTCTAAAAAATATTATGAGTATATGGATTACTCCATATTTATTTTAAATTCAATTTAATAAAAAAATTGTTTAAAATAAAAAATAAAATTTATATTTCCACCTTTTTAGAATATTTTCCCAATTTTAGAATTTAAAAATCAGTGAGGATCGATCATCAATTAATAATTAAATAAAAATTACCACGTAAATCGTACTTCATATATTACATAAAATAATATTTTTAAAAATCTTTTACATGATAATCCAAATAAACTTATTTTTGCATCAATGTCTAATATAAATATTATGTAATTAAAGTTCAAATATTATCAGTTTTGATTGTAAAAAATTACTCCATAATATTGAATAAATATTTCCGGTGGAGGTAACATATTTTAAAAATTATATTAAATTTTTTACATAATCAATGAATGATGAAAATAAATTATAAATTTTTGAATAGTAACTAATGCAAAGTAACGCAATTTTCAGACAAATGAGGTATTTTTTTAATAAAGTCTTGAATCTTGATGTTTAAATCATTTTTATTTTCAAGCTTGAAATCTTAAGGGAGAAAGATTAAAATAGAGGTACAATATAGGTAAAGAACTAAAATAAGACAATTATGTTTTACTATAAAAATAAAATCTATAATGCAAATAATACAAACTTTTAATAGTAAAATAATACTGTAGAATATTAATATACATTGTTATATTATCACAATCAATAATCTTATTTTGAGTACGTATAAAAACATTACACGCCTATTTTGAATATAAAAAGCATGTTTGTTCTTAGTTTGTGTGAAGTGTGATTTCTTAAATATTAAATCAAGATCTTGTAATTTTAAATTTAAAGTGCAGAACAATTTAAAAATCCATAATCTCAAGTGAGCACTTCTCATTTATCATCAGATGTCCTAAGCTCAAAGCTCTTATTCCAACTTGTCAAACATCCTCTTTGTTATAGTTTCCTTAGAACATCTTTAGTGTTAGTTTTTTAAGAGTTGCTTAGAAATATCAAATAAAGAAATGCTTATGTAGCTTATGACATAAAAGCACAATGCATCTTTAGTGTTAGTTGTTTAGTATTTTAGTAATAGAAAATAATCAAAAACTATATCTAGTCAATTAGCAGTCCTAGCACTAAAGAAGTTCTAGGGAGTATTTGTGAAAAAAATTGTTGAAACTATCAAATCTCCTAAGTTCAAAGTTCAATTTATGGAACAATTTTTTATATTAGTGTCATGACTCTTTCGTTATAAATTAATTACTCCGTGTATGAATTCTAAGAAGAAAAAATGAATAATACATCTAGTCAACATTAATTATTCCACTATTGTTTTTATGAAATAAACTTGTGCATTAATTGTTCTACTATTGTTCGCTAAACATTTTCTGTTTTCAGTTATCTTACTTTCTAGTCAACATATGTATAATTGATGATGACTCAGCTTCCCGATCTATTGACCAAAACACAAGAGGACCTAAATTTGGGTATAACATGACCCAAAAACTCATCTTAAATATAACATCCACAAGAGTTCATTCTAAAGTGATTTTGTAATTTAAGACTAAAACTATGAAAAAATGATATTGCTCATAAGAATGGTCTTTTTGAGAAATAAAAATAATTTAGAAAACAACCATTGGGTAAAAATGATACACTTTTAGATTAAGGCTCAATATTTGCTCAAAGTAAAAAGTGACAATCTAAACCGATCTAGTCCAAGCCTTGGGTCAATGGATCATTATGGGTCCAACCCAAATAATGAACCACCTTAAATGAAGTACTACTCCTATATAATTCATCCATTTTATATCAAAACTGACACCATTTGAATCTTTCAAAACCCAAACTGAACCGATCCAAAATGATTATTGGCCTGTTTGGGAATAGCGTTAGCGTTTTGAAAATATTATCTACAGTCAATGTTTAGCGTTAGCGTTTTCAAAGTAATCTGCACTGTTAAAATTTTATCCAGAACGCTAATGTTAATCTTTAACGCTATTCCCAAACAGGCTCTATATATACATATCCGAAATAAACCGGAACCAAAATCGAACCGATTGATCCGATTGCCAGGTCTAAATTTAGAGAGGAGGATAAGAAACTATGGAGCAATAATTATGTACTCCGTAATAAATACTAGGAGTGGTACACTTTATTGTAACGCACAATAACTGATTTTTAAAAACACAAGTGTATAACAAGTGGTTTTAAGAACTGTTCTTTTAATCATTAGGAGTATATAATAGACTGCTTCACAACTAAGCGACCACCACAAAAGCACTTGATGTACCTGTGAAGTGCTTAATGGAGCCTAGAAGGGACTTTGCAGCACCAAAATGCCTTATTCTGTACACACCCGGAACAGCCGTCGATGGTATTCTCCATTCTATGGTTGCTTCGCTCCTGGCACTGAGTTTATAGGGCCTTGACCATTTAAACCTAAGGCAGAAATCGTCGTCGTCATATGCAGGGACCCACGAGTCCTTTCCTTGGAGGATCTCCACAAGGGCAAACGTACCCTCTGTCATGAGGTCATTCCGTGGGCATGCAGAATGGAAACTGACACTCACTAGGTCTCCCCTCTTTGTGGTGGAGTTTTTAGGAACGTCTGTCAAGACATCTCCGAAGTTGGCTCCTAGTGGAGTGGAGTCCACCACGACCGGTGTCAAGAAGCTCAACTGCTTGTCTAGGAAATCTGGTGGTTGTGGCCCAGCTTCCACCAGCTGACCAGCTATCAAGGCCTTTGCAAGCTTCTTAAACTCTTGAATGTAGGCACTGAGCGTGTGTGGGCCATACAGTGTAGAGGCACCCTGCAAACGGGTGTTCAACAACATATGAAAACATGATGCTTTGTTACCAGTTTTGAAGGATATGCAGAATCATGTTTGATAAAGTACGGTGCTGCTCGGTTAACTAACCTCGTATCTTTGGATCTGGTACTCCTCATGGGTAGTAACATATTGTGAATATGTATTAGTCAAACCAGCTATGACTACGTGAACATTATTATTGCTGAACTCTGATGGAGCATCAGTGAAAACTGCTCTTACAGCATCTCGTAGACGTCTCCCAGCCATTGTGGTAAATTCTACAAAGAAACAATCAGAGGAAAAAAAAATTACTAAATAAATTAAAACTTGACAGATGAAGTGTTGCTATCTTCTAGAGGTCAAGTAATGAAGAACAAATCACTGAGACTCCAATAAATACCTCCAGGTACACTTAAAATCACAAGCTGCCCTACTCTTAGGATCTGGATCGGAAGTATAGCAGGCTGCAAAATCAATGTTTGTTTAAAGAACCTTATTAGGTGCATAAAATGGAAAGAAGAAGACAAGTGGGATACCAATGGCTTGTTCAGAAGGCTAGTAAAGACCCAATTAATGTTCATGGCATGGGTCATATACGACTACCATCCCCACCAAGCCATTAGGCAGCAACTCAAGAATATGCATGATGGTGTTTATATTCAATGATATTAAAGATAAGTGACATTTGAAGGACGAAACTCACAGCCCAGTCATAAGGTATCTTCATTTCTCCAGTATCAAGCAATATGGGTTTTGGTTTATGGCACTCCTCTTGTTCCTTACCAGGAGTTTTAAGGACGTTGCGTACCACTCTCCAAAATGCATTTCCCTAAGCAAATACTCCGTATCAAGTTTTGAGAAGATAAGTGCATTTAACCTCAGCTTTCTACCATTAATGAAAACACATAGTTCACCCAAATTCAGTACCTGGTCATCACCCTGCTTAAAATCAAAAGCCCCAGGACCATCAGTTGTACCAGCAGCAAATGCAAACCCCATTGCTGCAGGACATGTTTTTACAACATCAGTACCACCACCTTGTTTTGGAACTGTCACTTCAAGGCTTGAGAAGTCCAGATAGGCATGACGGTAATCGACTTTCCCCTTCAACTGCTCTGTTGCTGAATTGAAAAGCTCCGCTGCCTTTTTAAATTGCCTCTCCCCAATGATGCGTGTACTCTCAAACTCATCTGGGTATCTGCAAGTCAAGCAAGATAAAATCTTATACGGAGTACATTATAATCAATATATGATCCCATTTTGTAGGCCTCATTTCTGGCTTACCAGCCAGTTTTCTTCATGTCCGATGACAAAAAAGGGCACAGTTGTTACTTCTTTCTCTCACTTTTTTCGCTTAACCGACATAAAATTGATGAAATTGGTACTTTTAGCTTAACTTTTAGATATTTATTTTTTTACAAAGAAACTTATATACTCACATTTATGTTTCTGCATGTGTGACTTTTTACACACATTTTAGTAGATTCAAGCATACCAGCCAATATCACTATATTCAAGTCATTCAACCACTTAAATTTAAGCCTTACCAAACAGCTGTAAATCTAAATGGAAATTCAAAATTGTGAATACTTCATATTGCATACCCTGGTC